AATCCGGTAGTATCATCAACAGTCCAACCTAGAGAATGTTTGCTTATTAGAAAACGAACGAAGTGTAATTTACACTTACCTGGAGGTAGCTCCCCCGTCAACTCTTTTGGAGGATAACCGTACGTCTGCAGCTCCACTAGCAGCTTTCCAAGATTCTCGAAATTTGATAGATCTGGTACTGCGTTAGGTTCAACCTTCTAGAAAGAGCTGATATAATAGATAGCATAAGGTTTCAACCCATTACCATGTTTGGTATATCATCGTTCGCCACATTTGAAGTCGTTGGCAATTCATCCGGCTGCTTCTCAAATTCCTGACATATTCTGCCAAGGATCTGTAAAGTTCAAATAAAAGCAAAAAAATCCCTTACTAGGTTGATTAAAAGAAGCAGTAAAAAAAAGGTCAGAAGCTAAGTTACATATGAAAACAAGGGGAAAAAATGAAAAGGAAATTGTCAATGGTCAATTTTGCTTGACTCAGGTTTTTTCTTCATTCATTCACTTTATTAGAATCATTACTTATAATAAAGCGCTAAGCTTGTCTGTATATGTGTGAGGATGTGCTTTTCTCTGTCTGTCATGAAACTGGCTCATTTGTCCTAAGAAATTAAAAGGGCATTTATCAGGCGCTATCATGTTAACTGCACAACACTAAGTAAACATGAGCAATTTTGTTGTCAAAACGTGGTAAATTGGTTGTTCATTTCGAGTTGCTATGGATGGGCTGTACGGTCGGGAGAAATGGCCTGTGCATCGATCAAGAACTGAGAGGTAAGATCAAACTCGACCCTTTTGCAGCAAAGTCCATGTCTCAAGAGGTTTCAAATTAAATTAAGAGAAATTTATTACTAACGTTCTAAAAGACCAATAGATTTAATCTCTAAATACATGAAAGTGCAATCCTCTCCGAAGGAGAGGTGAGGCACTGATTTAGTATATGATCAGATTACTATTTACAGGTTAGATTCTAACGACGAGGCTATAATTTGCTTCATTTCTTTCAAGAAATGTTATAAATGAAATATAAGCATTCCACAATGATGAGTTAGAAACTTACCTCGTACTGTTTTTCGTAACGTTGCCGCGTATCAGCGTCGAGAGTTGAGCCGTGCTCTTTGAAATAAGTTGGGTAGTTATCGTGAATTTCCTTTAACGGGGGATACATCACAGATTTTGATGCAAGCGTCTAAATATGACCGGTATGCAAAGAGAATATATAATAATGTGAAGTGCCCAAACTTCTTTACTCTTTGTGGTACAAATATAAACCAAACTGATACATAAAAACATGGTAACGCCACAATAAATGCTAGTGAACCTGCAAAATCATGGCCATAAACGGCTCCATTGGAGATCCAGGAGATTTCAGCATATCAAGGCCGGCAATGAAGTCGTCCTGGCTGGAAGCATTTGCAATCTAAACATATAAAAATTATCTATTAAGTCAGACTATAGGGAACCGTTCACTCAGTATCACGAATCCGAGCAATAAAGATTATCGAGCTTCTCAAATGTGGTTATTGGAATAAATGAAAGATATTGATTGAAGAATTTAAAAGGCAAATTGATTGAAGA